GTTGACCCCACCAGCTTTGAGATTGATCTTGAGCCCGACGTTGGCGAAATATCCTGGGCTGGCTTTTCCAAATGTACGTCCCACTACGCAGCTCGTATGAATTCCATATGTGCAATCACCCAATTGCTTGATCCTGGCATACAATCCTGAAGAATCTTTTTCAGACAGGATGATGACGAAAAGCTGGATTTTGTTCTCTTGTAACCACCCAAAGATTTTGTCGAGGTTTTGATTGACGTCAATTGCCTCTCTCGGAGGAGCAACGGGGACTTTGTTGATTGCGATGCCCATATTAGCCAAGAAATCTCCGTATTGTAAAACGACTTCTCTCCCAACTGGCTGCGCATTTGGTCTCATCAAGAGATTGACCCAGCTCCAACGCTCAATCCTGTTACCTGGCTTGATAACTCTTACCGACCTCATATTCCAGGTGCCATTCAGCGGTCTAACATCGATATTCTTTCTCTTGCCGTCCAAATAGACTACCATCGGTGCGTTGAGGATTCTTCCCTGAACAGTCAACATCTGCTTCTCGACAGAGACACCAAATTTGTTCAGCGATGGATCGTCAAGTTCGAGTACTTGACGGCTGGCGGTGCTAATGGAAAGGGCATTGGAGTACGGCGACCGACAGGCAAATTCCAGCATAGCAGTCGTCTCGTCCATGTTAAGAGAAGCTTTGATTGCCTGGCCTGGTTGGATCTCGATCATCTCGGCCGGTACATATGTAAAAGGCTTTTGCTCAGTACCCATGTCGAGCAATGGGTAATCCTTTAGGGTTATGCCGTACTCTGAAATGCATGTCAGCTTGATTTTTTGATCAAATAAAGGAAAAAGGAGAAAAAAGAAAAGGAAAAAGTGAGATGAAAGCTTACTCTGTTTGTAATAGTCAAAGACCGTGGTGTAGCCGCCCCCTTTGCCACTGTCTATCCAGAACTGAACGTTCTTTGGACCGCCAAATTCCCAGTTGGCATCAAACTTGGGTGGATGTGGCATTCCCTTGCCTTTTTTGACAACATCTGACCAACTGGCCAGGCCTCGTATAGCCTTGGACCGGCGAACACTTTTACCCTCGGTAGTCTTGAAGTTGTACCAGACACGAGTCTTGGGTAGGAATTTACCAAACGCTCTAAGTTTGCGCATTTCAAACCCTTCGTTCTTTGAAGCGGCTCTGATCTGCAGGTTGTCCAAAATCTCTGTCATGCGACCAGAAATTCTGAAAACACCGTGAGTGACATTGGCGTTTACCAACACCCGGCCAGTTGCCAAGCGGGCAGATTGGAAGTAACCGCGGGCAGCGGCCAGAGCGCGCCAATTGTGAATGAGATCCTGGATTACTTTGTCATCGCCAAATGGGAAGAACCGAGATGAACCAATGGCTGCGGTCTTGATATGATCGCTCCTGGGCTTATGGCCCAGAATGACGTTGATCGCGTCAACAACGTCGGGAAAGCGTGGGAAGGAGATGGCGTCGGCACCGCCCGGTCCATCCGCCATGGATGTCAGATACTGTTTCATGTCGCCAACTCGAATCTCATTGGGGCCGTGGATCTGCACAGAGTATGAATCCATATCTTCGCTCCCCTCGGATTTGGCAACTTCAACAACCATGGGGTTGGCAGCGAGATTGATCTGCTTCAGCGTGATGAGCACGTCCTTGAACTCTGTGGCAACGACAAGAGTCTTATCCTCCTCCAAAAGTTTGGCTAGAACAGCCTTGACGACGAAAAACAGTTCTCTGCCCTTGATCTCTTTGTCGCCTGCGCCAGCCTTGCCACCCTTTTTCGAGTCTGGCTTTGAGACGCCCACCTTCTTGGCATTCATCGTATACTTGTAGAACGTGTCAAATTTGAGGTTGACCTTGAAGTAGTTTGCCCAGAGGACAACGGGTCTGCCATGTGAGCCATAGGCTGGCCTAGGAGGAAAGTGGGTGATCGTGCTTGACGGTGGAGCAGCGGTGCCTCCTTTGCCTCCTTTGCCTCCTTTCCCTTTGACGCTCAGTTTGCCCATCTGGGACGTGAGAGTCGTAAGTGACGAGGATTGGGCTGCCACAATCTGATTCTCCAGCTTCATAACTTCAGCATCAGGTTCAGGTATCGTGCCGTTGTAGCTGTGACGTCTATTAGCTTCGAGTTCACACATACTCACACCGTATAAGAGAGGTGAGGACTCACTTGAAAGCCTTCGTCTTGCCAGGAGACTCATCGCGACGACCAAAACCGCCGCCTCCGCCTCCACGTCCGCGGCCTCGTCCATCTCCTCGGAAGCCGCTGAAGCCGCCCCTGTAACCTCCTCGGTCACCACCACCTCCTCGTCCGCGGCCGCCGTAATCTCCACGGTCACCGCCACCTCGCCCACGACCACCGCCATAGTCTCCCCGATCGCCACCTCCTCGTCCTCGACCACCACCGCGATCTCCTCGATCACCACCTCCTCTTCCACGGCCGCCACCACCACGGTCGCCGCCCCGGAAGCCACCGCGGTTACCCCGGCCTCTATCAGCCATGAGAAAGACTGGAGCAGTATAAAGGTAGGGATATAATGTCGAGACCTAAACGACAGAGACCAAGAAACCAAAAAGAAGGCTGGTTAATGTAGATACTGCCAAAAAATATTATGCTGAAATATAATAACCACGAGTGAGAGAATAGCGATTCTAGCGAAGGACCCAACCAATAGATGCTTTCGGTAGAGTGAGAGCGAGAGACGGCGACAGTAGTAAAAAGAAGAGGAAAAATATAATGGGTTGTGCTGAGAAGAGATAACAAAAGGACAAACAGAAGTCAAGGGCTGCGCTTAACCAACAAAGAGCAACAAGGCGTCAAAGCGTCAAAGCGGGAAGGCGTGAAGGCGTGAGAAGGCGTGAGAAGTCGTGAGAAGTCGTGAGAAGTCCTGAGTGCTGGAAACTTGAATGAAATATAACAATGAGGTTGCCCAGCTGCCAGAGCTGCAGCTGCTTCCAGTTGGCGAAAGCTCGAGGTTGTCGGTGGCGACAAAGAACGAGGCTAGCTTTAAAGCTCTCTATCGAAACTGCCGTCCTTCTTGTAAAGCTCTAGGGCCCGGCCGTGGCGCTTCGACGGGGCTGCGGGAGCGGGGAAGCTGCACATGTCATGTCTTCTAGTCAGCGTGGGCTGGTCCGGGTTCCAGTTTTTCTTTTCTTTGTCTTCTTGTTTCTTCTTCCCAGCAGCGATAGTGTGGATGTAGTTATAATACAGAGACAGGCAGAACTGGTACGTACCTACGGCTCTCGTGCGTGCCTGGATGCTGGATGCCCGTGCGGGAATTTGTAGTTTGTAAATCGCTGGTGGGGGTTTTTGGCGCTCAACACGGCGTGTGTTGGTCAAGCTCACTTGTATGTGCTGTAAGACCGGTGCAGTGCAATGATGGAATCCTCGAATGCCGCCGGGCCAGCATTATATCCATCAAAGAAAGGCGTGGACGCTCGTCTGTCAGTCACCCATGATATGGCCGCCCCCCAGGCCTGCAATATATGGAGATGGGCACATCCGCATGTACATTCATTCGCACACAGCCCTCTCTTTGTGATACACGCCCACTCTATCGTACTTGGGATGAGCGCCACCAGCCAAACAAACAGGGCTTTCTCCCACCCTTGATCTCCGCTGGCCTCCCACATCGCCAGAAGAGTCATTGTCCATGCACTCGCCCAGCTCAGGCAGATTCGCCGACTTTCCATGTTTCTGCCTTGCTATACACCCTGTGCTACCTCCTACGGCCACTCGTACGCCATCTGTGTATCTGCATGGAGCCATTCATAGCCGCCCATGGGCCCTCTTTGGCCTCACGCTTTACTGTATACATGTGGCAAGTAAATGTGCTTCTTGAATCTGGTTAGTTCCTGGCCGATGTGACGGATCAGCCTCGAGTGCATCTCCACTTGGCGCCAACTCATGATGCATGCATCAGGCTATCAGAGCATTCATGATGCGCTGTTGATTCGAGCTCCAAGTCTCGCGTCGCCTGCCGATCAATAAGAGCTTGGCTGAATGTGAAGGAGGCGACGGCAATGATCGTGTGTTGGGGCTTGTCGTCCAGTCTCAACGTCACCCCCAACACTGCGTGACCCTTTGGCTTGATCGGGACTGGAGGACTGCCAATTGAGTTCATTCGATAATTTAGTACCTAGGCTGGCAGGCATAGCAAGTAGGTACGTCAATATACCTTAGCACTACTATACAGCAGTAGCACTCCGTTCTTTGTCCACAATGAATCACGCCTCGAAGAAGTTTCCCCACTACGAGCGACATGTCATATAGATTTACTCACTTACACACGAAACATTCCCTCACTGCTAATGCAATGCCAAGGAAAACTCAAGGCACAAGACCGGAAGGTCAATTCCTCGTATCTCTCATCTTTTACTCTTTCTTCCAATTGATAATACAGTTGAAGTCCCAAGTTATGCTACCGCAAAGTGAGAAACCGGTCGCATGAGGATGACTGCGACGAGGCCAACCTACTTCTCCAAGAGGTAGACTTTACTAAGCATCAACGCGTGGCAAGGCTCCGATTATTTAAAAACGGCTATAATTCACATAAGGCATAGAGAATCTCGCAGTTGTTCAGATGAGACCTCTATAGTGTTTACTAATTAACACGTAGATGTCTTCTTATATCTAGATACATGTAGTTTGACCTACATACCTATCCGCTGATATCCCCCCCATCGCTACTCAATTAACATGGCCCATTTACTTTCTCTATCTAACCTTTATAGGTATTAGAAATACAACATTAGCAGTATATATATATATGCTCATACACACTTTTTCCTTTTTCATGCTCGCAGCTCTTGGAGCTCTCAACCTGATGTTCTCGTCTCAACACAGTCACCTTGCCACCACCTCGAGAAGTAATCGATCGATCTCTTTATAGCTACCAACTGGCCTATTCTACGTAGATTTTATTCAACTGGCGAAAAAACAGCAAGATAAAAAGAAAGCATCAAATAGAAATAATTACAAAAAAAGGAAATTCATTTCCGGCGCCGGGAGTCGAACCCGGATCGCCGCGGGACTTTCACTGATGAAAGCGCGGTATGCTAGCCACTACACCACGTCGGATATCTTATTTGATGCTTAGCGGATGACTAAATTTCACTTATATGAGAAAAGAGTGGCGACGATCTGATGTCATATAGGTTGAATATGGCATGCCGCATCAACATCCTGCCGATTAATTGCATGCGTCTACCCACCCACATTCATTGTTACATAGCTAGGGTATCTATAGCGAACTCACTCTGAGCTGAATTGGAAAGATTGTGCTTTTTGTACGACGTACACTTGGAACGCTCCGCCGTTAAAACTTCGCTTTAGTTTAGATGTCGATGAGACTGAATGATAGACGCACACAAACCCGCCTCTAGCGGATTTGTCGTTACATGAACGCAAACCCTGCATTGAATGCTGTCGGATAGAGATGCGTTACTGGGGTGGGATCCCGCCAAAGACTCGTTCCGAAAGCCTGTGACAGAGGGGTATGCAACTATGTAGAGTATGTGCTCTTATCTACTTCAAAAGCGCAGTGTATAGACGAATAGAGGTTGAGAGTATCTCTAACAAAAGGTTTGACTCTTAACTCTACTAATCAAGTGCCACTTATCATCTATACATATTAATGCTCATTTCTCACACTGGAAACAACATGAGTTTAAGTATTGGCGAATCATTGCGCTGCATCCGGTAGGCTATCCGATCAGATATTCGGGTATTAAATTTGTAGACCACCAGGGAACCATAAACTCAAAAGGCAATAGTGAATAAGAAAGCCTACAACTCATCTAGAGATTAGTATTCGAGAACAGGGTGGCTGGCGCACCGAGCCACACATTCAGCTAGCGATTCGGGAGCTGCCGACTGCACAAAACAAGGTTTATTCTTTAGCTATCGTTACATGCTGTATGCATCGAAATCTGTATACAACTGTGTGAGACATTCTCCAATGTAGTTCATGTATACTTTTCAAGTTCTGCTGAAACTCGCTTGCCGGATGCCACTGTTATTTTCTCGCCTTATTGAGATATGCTGAATTGCTATCTTGCAATTTGGACCTCATGAACGGGATGCTGCCTATCGCAACCTCAATCGACAACATCAATTTCTACAGTAACCAGATATTGTAGCTTCAAACGCACCCAGAGGTGGAGAATCTTATTAAGAGGAAATTCACAATGCCAAAGGACAATACCTATACCAAATTGTTGATAATGACACAGCCAGGGCACCAGTTTCCTCATCCGGCTAGGGCTAATAGTTGGCTTATACCGGAAGCTTCAGAATGCGCCGAAACTTGGTTGCGTTGATTGCCGACGCCACTACGATACCGCGACTTCAAGAATTGTTTGGAATCATATTGGACTACAAATATCGGCAATCAAAATTACACCTGTATAAATGAGTTGATGAGATAACCGGAATCGCCCTTTACCGCGGCATGAAATACCTATTTGCGAGTTATATAAGGGCTTGGTCGAACAATGGGACATTGTAATCTATAGCATTATCAGTGATCCGAAACAATCAATTAACCCTCTTTTATTCTGATAAGCTTTGACAATGGCAGCTTCTCTAGTGGATGAAATGCTTGGACGTACCAAGTATGAACGTTTTTCGTCTCCGTGTATGTGGGTATCTGCTCACCGCAATCTGGCTATAGGAATTTTGCCACGTCTCACAGGCCATACAAGTTCTTTCCTGAAAGTATTGACCGAAAATTGCCTTCTGTCCTCATAAGTGCGTTATACAGACAAGAATGAATCAACTTTACAGGGGCACTATTTAATCATTCGATGTATAGTAACCTGTCTCGACCCAAGGTGCAAACCAGAAGAGTTTTTATGCCTTATGTCCGGAGGTACGTTTAATATCCAGTTCGATTTTGAGTTTCTGACCGTTAGTATTCGCAGAAGCCATTATTTTTCGAGTTGGAGGGGGCAGGGTTGCCCCACTCATCGCTCAAGTCGCTTCAATGGACTGTTTTGTTGGTGGTTTTAGAGAAGTCATGATCATTCATCATACCGGTATGCTATAACACAGACATCACGCCAAATTCTAACTAATAACTCTCTTTATTCCATGAAATAGACTGCGGGGCTACTTATTTGACAGCAGAAAAGATCCAGAGCCACATTTTGAAGGAAGAGGGAGTTTCCATCGAAGATACAAACGGTTTGGTGCTTCCAGTTATTGTAGAGTGAGCTATCCTCTCCTATTTCAACACAGAATAAGTAGCTAACTGAGTCAGTCTGGAACAAAGCGTTCATGATGATGTCAAGCTATTGAGGGAATCCAGAGTCATTCGCCGCGACTTGAAGGAGTGCATAAAAGGTTACCTGTATGATGTCAGGACTGGACTCGTTGCGGGCGTTTGAGAGTCATCTCCAAGTATGTAATAAGAATATAAATTGTGTGAGACATCAGGCAATAAGATACAAGATGGCTATAGAGCTATCTAAGAGAGAAATATGAGACAGTTGGCGGTGTGGGATATTATGGCCTCGAGACATGGCCGCGTCTTACAAGTGTTGAATTCTGATAGGCTCTGACTCTGAGTAATTTTAATATGTATCTGTCTTGGGTTACATCTCTTACTTGATGATGTTACAAATATGTGAATGTTTGTCTTGTGTGACTGGCGGTGATAACCAGATGCTACTATAGACATCGGAGCTCCATTCAGAGAGAGAAGAGAGCTCGTATCTGCCGGTGCCACTCTGCAGACAAATGGCCAAACGAGAGAGAGAGATCAATCCCTGCTTATAGTGTGCTCCATGTATTTTCGTCGATTATGATCTGTTACTTGCATGCCATGTCTCTGTCGTCGCGTACGTGTAGCCTAACATCAAGCTTTACAGAATTAGTGAGATAACAACCAGGTATAAATTCTCTTTGATCCCCGCTCGGAATCGACATACGCACTTGGTCTCTACATACAAGTCTCCAGCTATTAATCTCCATTATATTCCTTTCAAGAACCATTCCAAACACGCTTCATCCGCAAATATCCATTATGAAATCACTATTGATATTCATATTAGCGGCTGGAACAAGCTTCGCGGCTGAAAATGTTCTAAATATCCCAAGTAAAGGACGTTTCAAATGCATTAGTAACTATCGCCTACCCACAAGTAAGACTTCGCTAACCGCAATAATTAGCTGGTAACACTACTGAATTTTCCATTACTGCAATTAAGGATGGATCAGCTACAGCGGAAGGCTACATGCTTAATGGCACTTATGCGAGTATGTGTGGCATTGACCCAGTTTTCTTTACTTCATTTGACTCTTTTCCATCTCATTTTATACACTAATATATTGATTTCAATTAAAATTAGAGGCCCCAAACGGGAAACTCTATCCCACACGCTTCGCAAATCATGAAGGCTTTTCATTCTCAGCACCTTGCAAAAATCGTGCCCTTTTGGAGCATCCAGTGCATGCGAGAGTGCCGTATGGCTATACAGGGGGCACTCCAGGGGCATACAGACTCATTCTTGCATACAACGACCCACAAACTGAGGCTATGTAAGTCCAAATGCAACCCTTTAAGCATAGAATACCAGCTAACTATCGTGGTACAGATTCTGCGGAGTGGTTGCGCATCCCCATCAAAATGAGAATGATTTTGTCCAGTGTGCGTATCAGCAGACATAAGGAAAGGCCATCAGAATAAGTCATCGAGGGTCCAAAATACTATCTTCACTGCCTATTTAAACATAGCATAGTAGTTTGGTCTATAACGGGTAGTAAGTGTCAAAAAGTTAGCTTGTGCGATCAAAGAAGCAATTTATTTACGGCTCTTTATTGTCAGTAAAAGGTGGTCCGATAGGAAATGAGACAGAATTGTTGGACTCTCACAACTCTTGATGAGATGCTAGCTCCGAACCAAGATGAGATTTGTAAAAGCATCTTTTATGCTAGAATCTGTTACGTGATAGGCATTTGAAGTAAGATAGCTATGGTTACCTAGTCGAGAGAAGCTAGGAGTGCTAATTTCTTTACCAGCAAATCTACCATATAGGCACAGCTAATGGGTATCCGGCCGGGACTAATCTGCATACATATATGTACTTTTGTGACTAATCCTTTTGTCTGATAGCAAGTCTGATAATCACGTCATGTAACATGCTCCTCCACTCTTCCACTCGAGCTCACCGTCCTAAGCAGCCGAGAAAATAGTTTGATAACTGGGTAGCGGGGATTTGTCTATGGCTTCTAACATCTTCCCTTTACGGGCACTAGGCCTGGATTCTCTACAGTGGTGGCTTAATAAGCTGCGGCGTAATTGAGCAACCTACTAATGTATCCTAAAGAAAGAATAGAACACAATAAGGTTACAGGTAGCTGCGTTATTATTCAGCCTTTCGGCTGCTGGTGGCCTGATAAATGCCCTATTCAATAGCGGACGGATTTGTAACCGCGTTAGTCGTCTTGTCCAAGGTCGGAAGGGTTGCTGCAGAAATTGCCTGAAAGAGCACTAGCCGTGCCCATTTGCATTATGAGATCATCGCATGTATAATGATGGAGCTTGCTGAGCTTGTCGCATTATATATCACCCAATTAGAAATAAACTCGTTTCCAGAACGTCCAGTAGATTGCAACCGACAGTGAGTTTTCCTGCGGCGCATATTTCTAAGCGGGTGTTTGCGGGCAGGCTGGGTTCAAACACCAGCAGCCATGGCATTCTGAGTGGTATTTATAGACTTGCCCCTCAGCCCGGCATTAACAGCGGCATCCACAACATCTTCACTCACTCCCAATACAACGACAAGGTTAAAAGGCGCTCATTTCTACATACCAAAACTTCAATTGAAAAAACAAATATCTTCCATCATGGCAGCACCTCAACCTCACATCAAGCTGTACACTGACTCCACCCCCAATGGAATCAAGATCACCACAGCTCTAGAAGAGCTCGGGCTCAAGTACGAAGTCGAGCATGTTGACATTAGTACTCTTCGCCAGAAGGAGCCTTGGTATCTCGAAATCAACCCCAATGGGCGAATTCCCGCCATTGTAGACACATTCGACGATGGCGAGCCCATCAGAGTCTTTGAGGGTGG